AGAAAGTTACTGAAATCTGTTTCTTGTCTAATCAAAGCTGCAGTTATGGCTGTGGAGCAGGGGCAGAGGGTCTGTTAGTGTCTGGTGGTGGGTGAGCCGCAGTTGTTTTAATATTACTTATCTCAAGGCCAGTGCTTGCTCAGCTGCTAGAGAAAAGGAAAATCTCACGTGGCTGGGTGCAGTGGGGATTTACATGCCTGTAATCCCAGCACTTTGGGAGGCCAGGGTGAGAGGACTTCTTGAACCCAGGGGTTTGAGACCAGCTTGGGCAACATGGCAAAACCCCATCTTAGCTGGGCTGGGTGCCATATGCCTGTAGTCCCAGCTACTTAGGAGGGAGAGGTGGGAGGATCACTTGAGACTGAGAGGCTGAGGCTGCAGTGAGCTGTGATTGCACCACTGTACCACTCCAGCCTGGGTGACAGATTGAGACCTTGTCTCCAAAAAAAATGAGAGAGAGAGAGAAAGAAAGAAAAATCAATCTTGTGGTAATTAGAACATAGTTTATTCTTCAAGTGTATGTGTCTTTTTTTTTTTTTTTTGAGACGGAGTTTCACTCTTGTTACCCAGGCTGGAGTGCAATGGCGTGATCTCGGCTCACCGCAACCTCCGCCTCCTGGGTTCAGGCAATTCTCCTGCCTCAGCCTCCTGAGTAGCTGGGATTACAGGCACGCGCCACCATGCCCGGCTAATGTTTTTGTATTTTTAGTAGAGACGGGGTTTCACCATGTTGACCAGGATGGTCTCGATCTCTTGACCTCGTGATCCACCCGCCTCGGCCTCCCAAAGTGCTGGGATTACAGGCGTGAGCCACCGCGCCCGGCGTGTATGTGTCTTAACCCTTATCTGGCATGATCTTAGCTCTTGTTATAATTACAACAGACAAAGAGTCTGTTCTGTCAGTTGTATGATCTCTCTTTTAACATTTATTTTTTATTTTGGGGACAGAGTCTCACTCTGTCACCCAGGCTGGAGTGCAATGGTGCCATCTCTGCTCACTGCCACCTCTGCCTCCGGGTTCAAGTGATTCTCCTGCCTCAGCCTCCTAAGTAGCTGGGATTACAGGTGCCTGCCACCATGCCTGGCTAATTTTTTGTATTTTTAGTAGAGACAGGGTTTCACTATGTTGGCTAGGCTGGTCTTGAACTCCTGACCTCAGGTGATCTGTTCACTTCGGGCTCCCAAAATGCTGGAATCATAGGTGTAAGCCATGGCACCTGGCTTAATTTTTAACATTAATGCTACTCAGCTGTGTCTACACCACAAAAAGGAGACCTAACAAGGTGTGTCTCACCTCCCATCCTGTCATGGCTGGGAACTCAAATTTTAAGGTTTCTTTGGGGTCCCCTTGGCCAAGAGGAGGCCCATTCAGTGGTTGAGGAGGCTTAGGATTTTATTTTCAGTTTTCACAGTTAAGGTGGAAGCCCCTTGTACTCTTCCCAAAAGTCATTACCGTGATGGATAGGGGGTTTTATCCATTAATTACTGCTTTCGCTTTTGGGCACATAATAGGATATCTCTTTCCTGCCCTCTTAAAGTTGGGTTTGGGCCAGACACAGTGGCTCACACCTATGATCCCAGCTCTTTGGGAGACCAAGGTGGGAGGATCACTTGAGCCTGGGAGTTCAAGACCAGCCAGGGCAACATAGTGAGACTCCATTGCTACAAAAAGTCAAAAATTAGGCCAGGCACAGTGGCACATGCCTGTAATCCCAGCACTTTTGGATCTGCTGAGGAGGGTGGATCATGAGGTCAGGAGTTCAAGACCAGCCTGGCTAACATAGTGAAACCCTGTCTCTATGAAAAATACAAAAAATTAGCCAGGTGTGGTGGCAGGCACCTGTAATCTCAGCTAATTAGGGCTGAGGCAGGAGAATTGCTTGAACCCAGGAGGCAGAAGTTGCAGTGAGCCAAGATCACGTCATTGCATTCCAGCCTGGGTGACAGAGCGAGACTCAGTCACACACACACACACACACAAAAAGCACAGCTTCCTGCTGTATGGACTGTCCTGCAAGTTGCTTCTTTCACTCAATGTTGTGGGGTATTTTTGTTTGTTTGGTTGGTTTTTTTTTTGAGACAGAGTCTCATTCTGTCACCCAGGCTGGAGTGTATGGTGCAATCCCAGCTCACTGTAACCTCCATCTCCCGGGTTCAAGTGATTCTTCTACCACAGCCTCCCGAGTAGCTGGGACTACAGGTACCCACCACCATGCCTGGCTAATTTTTTTTTTTTTTTTCACAGTAGAGACAGGGTTTCACATGTTGGCCAGGTGGGTCTCAAACTCCTAACCTCAAGTGATTCGCCTGCTTCAGCCTCCCAAAGTGCTGGGATTACCATCCTGTCCAGCCTTAATGTGTTTTTGAGGTCTATCCATGCTGTTGTATATATCTCTAGTTCACTGCGGCTGTTTATAGCATATACCATTGCCTCAAGTTTTATTATCATTTATTCCCTGCTCATGGGTACTTAAAGCAGAGCTATTTTTTTGTGACTACAAACAGTGCTTCAGTGGATGTCCTTGGATGTGTCTCCAGGTGCACATGTGGAAGGGTTTCTCCAGGGTATATTCCAAAAAATGGACTTGCTGACTGGGAGGACATGCTCATTTTCTTTTTCTTTCTTTTTTTTTTTTTT